GGGGACCCTGCTCATGTTTAATCAGTAGAAGGCACTGTCACAAGAATAATTCTCCCCTGTTGTAGGCCACAGAAAACAATGTCGCTTGGCAGCGATTTCTTCCCTCTGGACCCATTGCTTTGCTCCCGGTAAGAAATCTTTCCGGCTATTCTGCTTAAACATGTCCATCCCTCCTCACTTGGGACATCGCTTTCTCAGTCTCTCTCTGGTTTCAAGGAAGTGTGTCCAGACTCGCTCTGTTTCCCTTTCTTACATTTCTAATTTATGCTGAAGAACCCCCAAGAGCAGAAGTGTTTACACTTGGTCTTGATGTCTTTGTTTTCACACAGCTCTCTGACACCTTGAGTTCCTTGGTTTGGTCCACATCCCACAGACATGCAGCAGAGCTGGTCAGCATGGATGAGGAAGAGTTTGTGGATGCCATTAACTCTGCCTTTGTGAGTATCAGCTTATCTGGCTGATGATCGGTTGTGGAGCTAGATACAGAAAGTGGCTTTTGGCTGAAGAAAAGTAACCACCCAGCTGCCCCCTTTGTAACTGTAACACAGTTACATGTGAATCTGCTTTAACTGCCGAATTCTACCACCTCACTAGTGATGGACTACACACTGGTGTACACTACTTGCTTGTGTTCCACTGCTCTGTAGGGGCCACGAGAATAATCAAGAAACTAAACCCAGAGCAGTGGCTACCATCAGTGGTGAATGCCTGAATGCCACCCTCCCTGGGTCATTGTATAGATATTCATGGCCCAGGCCTTTGCAGGGCATTTGTTCAGCAATAACCATATATATATGGTGCTAGACAGAGAAAAATGGGACAGTTCAGGAAATTTCATCAATTAAGTGAGAAAGATACATAAATGACAATTTCAGTACAATGGTAGAAGGCAGCCTAGGAGACTATGGAGCATAAAGCAGGACAGCACACACACCACGGAGGGTTTGGAGAAAAGTTTACAAAAAGAGGTGACAAGCTTCTGAACGCTCAGAATGTCTCTGGGAGGCATTCTAAGCAGAAGTGAGTTCTGGAGTATAGAGGATGTTGTACAATAGCTCGTTGTGGCTGATGGGACATTGACACTGGAAGTCCAGGTGTTCCTACTACCAGGTAGGTGGGCCAGAGCAGTGTGGCTTGATTCTAAAACCTGATGGGAAGTAGTTGTGTTTTGCATTTGTTTAAAGGGTTTGTCAGTGGTTCTCCAGCTCAGTTTAGACATGTTAGGTAGGATGACCCTTGGCTTTGGTTATGTGTTTCCTTGTTGAACTTACTGATGAGTTTTACTTTGTTGTTTTGTGGCTGGTGTGCCTCAGTGGAGTGATGCTAACCACACAGACTTCATCGACTCAGCTGGCTCCGTGCTACAATATGTCTTTGCCTTTCTGAAGCCTACTAAGGTGTCAGCTCGCCAACTGCCCCCAAGTGTGGCCAGGGTCGATGCCAAAAGCCGAGTGTTGTTTCCTCTGGGGTTAGGACATGCTGCTGAGTATGTCCGGCCTCGGCTGGCTCTCATTGGGTAAGTTAAGAAGAGAGCAAGGCCTCTCCCCTCTCCCTCTTGCTGCTGGAGGCCTCACCTGAACTGTGCGCTGTTCTTAGGGATGCAGCCCACAGAGTCCATCCACTGGCAGGACAAGGTGTCAACATGGGCTTTGGAGATGTCTCCAGTTTGCTTCAGCACCTCAGTACTGCAGCCTTCAATGGGAAAGACTTGGGTAAGGAGTGCGGTACCTTAGAGAGGTGTCCAGAAGTCATGTAATTAGTGAAGATCAGAACCCTGAGATGACCCTCAGTAGCCAGCTGTGGTGAATGTAAATGTACCCTTTTTGCAAGGAGAGGAGCGTTGCTGTCAGATTAAGTATGTAACGTTCCTCTTTCCTCCAGGATCCATGAGCCACCTCACAGGTTATGAGACAGACAGACAGCGTCACAACACTGCTCTTCTGGCTGCTACTGACCTCCTCAAAAGGCTGTATTCCACCAGGGCCACTCCGCTTGTGCTGCTCAGGACGTGGGGCTTGCAGGCCACAAATGCAGTGTCTCCACTCAAAGTAAGACACTCGTGGCTCTGTGACCTTGCTCGCTGAGGCATGACCTGCCTGTATAATCTTGATTTCTTTGAATTTTCTTGGCTATAAAATTTTTGTCTACCTTTCCCAGTGGTTTTAAGAAAAAAGTCCTTGCTACATTTGTTGGTCCTAGAACCCACACCTGTGCAAAAACTTTCTATAAAAAAGAGCTTAAAATAGGGACTTTTAGAAACATGCTCAACCTCCTTTTGTTGATTGGTCAGCTCTTTCCTGAGAAATTTACATTTAAAAAGCACTTTAGAGAAACTCTTGGGCAGAATACCTATCGGAGACTTTTACTAAGTTTTTGCTTTATTCTAAATATTTTCTTCCCTTGCCCTCACAACTTATAGTATCAGAATATCATTTACTGTGTTTTATTTTTCTCTAGGAACAGATTATGGCCTTTGCAAGCAAGTGAGTGCTCCTCTGGAGATTATGTTGATGAAAAGAGAACATCCTTTCCCAAGACCATCACATATTTTCCAGATTTTATTTAATAAATTTACATAAGAATTTTACATTAGAATCTTTAATATGCCTTTGGAGCCCAAATAATAAATAACTTAAGAGGGGGATCAACCAAGCCAGAAGAAACTCCAAAAGAGGACAACCATAATTTGTTTGAAAAGGTATTTTTATTACTAAAACAGAAGTCACTGAGGTACTGTCTTATTCATTTTTCACTTGCTAAAATAAACCCTTTCTAAAAGGAGATGTATATAATTTTTTTTATGCTGGTCATAAACTTAAACTGTTATTTTTAATAATTGGCAATTATAACAATGTTATCAGTTACTACATTTTAGAATTAATAACAAACTACAAATTAAACATAAATAGCATAAATTTGTTACAGGTACACTGGCCTCACTGAAAAGAAAATCAAATCTTATATGTTAGTTATTTCTCATCACAGCACCAGAATTCAGTTTTACTTATGTATGGTTCCTCTCTGGAATACCACTGACTGGTAAGAAAACAATAAATAATTTAATTGCACAGTTTTAAAACACTCAGGAACCAGGTCAGAGGGAAAAATCTGATTAGCAATAAATTTACTTATGTCTGATGGGTGTTTTGGTGGGGGTTTTTAAAGAACTCACTTCATAGTTACTGAGATGCCGTTTAAAAACGAGACTTTTTTTACGCATTAGATTTGTATACTTTAAAGACCATCTCAACAAAAATCTTATTTAAAGATGAAATGAGAAGAAACAGACTGAGTCAAGCTAAGCTATTTTGGGAATAATTTTCAAAGGCTGATTAAATGTTACCATAAGGGGAGCTTGCAGGGCAAATATGGGAAATTTATGACACTAGAATAAGAAAATGACAGTATTGTAAACCTTTCTGGAATTTCGGAAAAATGTGCTTAGAATTAAGGATAGTGGCTACTGTCAAAAGCTATGTTGACCACCAGCAAGGTCCAGAAATGTCACAATGTCATCTTTCATCAAAAAAAGGAAAGGTAGCCCAGGTAAAGAGAACATGGACCCTCAAAAGTATGCAAACAAAATCAGGCCTAACAGGAAGAATTTTAAGGCACACCTTGCAAGAGAGCACACCATCCCAGAGAGAATGTTTCATATGATAACATACTCAACATCCATTGTATAACCCCAAGTATTGAAGTATATAGACACATTAACAGAAAAGAAACAATTCTCGCTTTAGACTTTGTAGGGCTTCTTAATATGAGACCCAAGAAGTACACAAAGGGGGGCGAGGGGAGGGAAGAAAAGCATCTTTTTTCCTAAGAAAAATTCTCATTCCAGGTTTCTTCTAAAGTGGTTCATTCTTCAGATGTTCTAATCAAGTTTATTAAGAGTATATGGATAAACTCCAAAAATACCTGGAGTTATAATGTACCCACTCGGAGCTCTGAAGATAATTTGGGATGATTAGAGACCTGTCAAGCTGAAGGAGTCTTGAGGAACAAAGCCTATCCCTTGAGAAAAAACTTGGTTTCCACTATAGGAAATGGTTTTTCCATAATACATGGAACAATATTTTATGACAGGTTCTAACAGCTCTTTAGACAAAGACATTAAGGTGTAGATGCCATGTGGTATGTCAAAAGAAGAGACCATAGAGAACTTGGCTAGACCATAGAGAACTTGGATGGCGTTTTCTTGAAAAGACTGAAAGGCGGTGGCAGGAAGAATTAGAACAGACCTAAGTCTTCTGAGATGACAGATTCAGCTTAAATAAGGAGGGATGTTTTTTGCTACCAGTGCAGTGAGCTGCCTGAAAACATGCCTGATGAGAAGCTGGATGATAGCGGGCCTATTAAGGGAATTATGCAGCAGATAGAAGGCTGGGTTATACCTTTGAGCCATCCCAGCTCTAAAGATTCTATTTCATTATAGCATTTACTGAGGAAGAAAGACCATAGGCTTAAAGGTAACCTAACTATAAAAAAAGAATGAAAATCTTGAATTTCACATTGAATTTAAGAAGACAACTAAAATTTGGGCAATGATGACAGAAATTTGCCTTATGGTACATATCAAATGTTACTTATTTATTGACTCAATGGAGGTAACTTTAAAATATAAGGTTCCCCAGGAATGGGAGTGAGGGCCAAATATATTTGATACTCTTTGTAAGTTGATAGTCTTTAGTGAAAACTACAAGTTTAGGGAAATATAAATTACCTGGAAAGAAGCTAGAGGTACAGAGCCAGGGCAAGGGAGCCAGACCGCAGGAAGGTCTTCAAGTCCAGGAGCACTCAGGTGCGTAGAGAAGAGGCAGATAATGATCATGTGGGAAAGTACAAGACAATGAAATTTAGGGGGAATAACTGACAAAAATCAAGAGCTCTGAGCACTCAAACTCAAAAAAAGAAAATTCACTGTAATGATGTGGGCCAAAATGTCCAACCGGCTCAATTGTTAGGTAGCATTGAGGCTACAGAAACATTGGAACTAGACAAATAGAGGCGGCTGTTTAAGACAAGCAGGGGCTAAGGCAGGAAAGCTAGTGCTACAAATAAAGGGGCAAGCTGACAGATCAAGCTACAAGCTGCAAGAGACCAAAAGCCACAGTCCAGCTGTATTTTTCTAAGGAATACAAAGAAAACAAGTTTAGGGTGACAAAAGTTTCTATAGACACTAGCCACGAGGTGGTTCTGGTACTGAGCACACATTCCTGAGGCTGGATGTGTGGCTGTGTGCGCTAGTCCCAGGCTGATGGACAAAGCTGTGCTCGCACAGGGAGCCACACCCTTCCTAAAGCCCGCCAGACTGGATGGTTGCCATCTCAGAGTCAGGAGAGGCTCTCCAGCCTGCTAAAGTTTAGGATGACTCGCTGCCTGGTCTTAGTACAAACTAGGTTCATACAATTTGCTCCCCTTGAATTATACATGAAAGGAAAAACCAGGTGTTTGGATTTTTTCCTCTTTCAGGAGAGATGGGTAGAGATAAAGATGGAACAGGGTAGTGTGCAGGGAGGGAAAATACTAGTACAGATAGGCTATGGGATTGTAATCAGCTAACTTTAGTATGTAAGATGAAAATGAAAGACGTTCCAATGAGGCACTCAAAGGGTGGAAAAGATTTTCTTTGGTTGCCAGGACCTCCCCCCCCCCCTTGGGCTGTCTAAAGTTAAGTTCCAAAGCTATTCCTTCTGGCTCTCTGACACACAGGAACACAGAAAATACGAAGATTTAGACTCTGGTACAAGCTGTGCACACAGAGTTACTAGGTAACATTCACATTAAATGTGTAAAATTAAATCTGGATCTCTAGATTTGAGGGCAAAGCAAAAGCTTCCGCCTAATGAAGACAGCTGCTGGGCTTCAGTCTGGGTTGTCCCCAGACGAGCACAGAACATGACTTGAGTTCTCGCTCCTTAAAAAAGCAGTTGGCAAATGCAGTCCTCAGAGGGAGATGCCCAGAGACTGCAGCAGGTGAAAGGTGGCCCCCAAGGCCCAGCCGGTCTCTATGTTGTTCACTTTCTTTGTAAGCTGTTGGGGAGGAGGAAAAAAGTCTTCACATTTTCAGTTTTCAGTGCCAGCATGACACGGGCATGCTTGTGGCCAAACCAAGGCAGAGCTACTTCTCTAACAGGTTTCCTCCTGCCATGGCCTGCTGCGCCTGGACCTACCACTCTGATCCTGAATCTTCTGGGCCAGGAAGTGGTTCCACACAGCCTTCTAGCAAGGATTTTCTAGAGAGGCAGGCTTCTTTCCCTAATCCTGAACTAAATAAATGTGTTGTTTTGTTTTGTTTTCTGAATCTCCAAGTTCTGATAAGGCAACTTATTAATGAGATATCAGTAGATGTGGTAGCAAGGGCATGATCAGGCCCTTGCTGAATACATCAAACTTCAGCTCCTACTCTGCATTATCATCTTTTTTTTTTTCCTGCATCTTCTTAAATGCTAATAACTAGTAACCAACCAATGCCATTTAAGGCCAGGTTGTGCTTCAATTAGTTCATGACTTTAAAGTTTAGACCCATTTTCCTCACCTTAAAACAAGAGAATTAGTGTTTATCAAATTATTTTCTTAAGAATTGTACAGGTTCTAAGAAGTGTTTCAAAGGAGAAAGGGAGGCCATATAGTGGAGTTCAGGCTCTTCTCTGCTTCAACCAGATACCACCACTTTCAGCAGTTTTACTGGCATTCAGCATAAGTTTTTGTTGGATAAAAATGCTATCATCTGGCACACGGGTGATTAGGTGATGGGCAACCCAAGGGGATTGCAACTGAGATGGAAACATGCATGACAATATGTAAAAATAAACTATTATAATTTTTTTTAAAATGCTATCATCACCACCACACACCAAGTTGGAAACCAATATACTGGCCTGTCTTCTTTCAGTAGTAAGTTCTTAGGACACAATAATTCTGTGTTCACCTGATGAAATTTATTCTAATTGTTAGAGGGAAAGAGTCTGCTGGACAAACTCTATACAGATAAAGCATTTCTGGGCTCCAGCCCCACTCCAGGCACCATAACTACATACCCCAGCATCACCAAAGGGAGGACTGCTAGGACCTGAGGGTAGAGTTAAGCTGCCACATTACTTTGTTTTAGATATAAAACCAGACATGTTGGGCTGAGGGTCTCTTGCTCGCTCTCTCGGCCTCGTGGCTGGTGGCTTGGCTCTTCTTTAGCTTTCAGCGTGTTACTGAGGTTCCAATAGTGGAACTGGTAGGACACATTAGCTACCTTGTATCTCTCTCCCTCTCTTTCTCTGGGTTGTTCCTTTTCTTTTCCCCTTGTATGTAAACCCATTATTAACCTTTTGTGTGTGCATGCAGTTGAATCTTAAACACACGGGTGAGGAACCACAGGCAACCCAGTTCACATTGGGTTGCCTTGTAACATAGTCACTGTGACAAACATTGAGAAGATCAGCATGTAAGTCATTATCTTGAGGTTTAGTCTGAAATATCTCAGTGAAATCAGGGTTTTCTCAAGCCCATGAAATGCTATTCCTCTGTCCTCAGGACTGGGGGATATAAGGACCAAAATGAAGTGATCTCTAGAACAGGGGGGGACTATCTACTCCTGATTTAAATTCTGTTGCCATTGAAATCATAAAGACCAAGATGGTAGCACAAGAAATGGTAGAATATAGCCCTTTAGTGATTTGGCTATCGTTCATGCTTAGGTAGAGGAAACCGGCAACTGAGTATGTATCGAGGGCTTAGGGTGACCTTTTATCCACAAATCTATCCCAGCTGGTAAGAAATGTCTACACTAATAATAATGCCAATATTAATAAATCACTATGTGCTAGTCATGGTACTTTACATGCAGAATCTCGATTTTTCTAACAACTCTATGCAACAGAATCTGTAAGAATCTCTGGGATCTTGGCTGGGAACTTAAAAGTTAAGGGAGGTTAAACATCTAAGGTCACAAAGCCAGCAAGTTTACAGAGTCAGAACTTGAACCCAGATCTGATGGACAACAGAGTCATGGTTTGAATACTGCTATAATGACTCCACTAGCCAAGGACTCTTCTATGTTAAGCACTTTAAATGCCAATATTCTTGGCAGATGAAATATTTTAAATCAAAATATCTTAGTACATGCAAGTTTTATGAAATTTATGTAACATAAGAAATAGAGCAATACAGGCCCTCCCTGGCGGCACAATGGGTTAAAACACAGCACTGCGAAACGGGCAGCCACTTCAGTGTGAGTTTGATCCCTGGTCCAGAAGTGATCCATATGGTGTGGCAGAGCACTCCTGATCCACCCACTTCAGCAGTGTACTTTGTCAATCTGCCGTTCTGCTCCCCACTCTGACCCTGCTGAATCCTCTCACCGTCCCTGCGGTGAGAGGGTACCTCTGGCCTGTACCCTAGTTTTGTATGTGTAAATAAATAAATCTTCAAAAAAGATAATTTCTCATATTTATGGTGGCCCACACAGTGCCTCAACAAAGCCTAGGTAAAAATTCCTCCTAATTCCGCCTATCGCAATTTCTGATTTAATAAGATCTTAACTTTCTTCCCAACTCCAAAGAAGACTGTTCATAGCTCTGGTGCCTACTCTCTTACCTGTAAGACAGTGCTGTCTGCAAAGCCAAAGCCATCTTTCAGTAAGGCTGTGATGTAACTGAGGTCCATGCACAGGAAAGGACTGCCCGAGGTGAAGTTCTCCAAGTTATCACATACTGATGGTAAGAGAGTGAATGTGGAGTTCAAGTTAGTAGTCAACTGAGAGGTATATGAATTTCTCTGGATTTAGAAAAAGCATATCTGTCTCAGATGCTGGACAATCTTGAGGCTCTATCTGTACACTGATAACTTCTGTAGGAGAAGAACTTGCACATTTCTTATGTTACAGCTTATCTACTCAAATGTACCTGGCCCTAGTTTCTTTGCTAAATATCTGTGACTACTGTGAGGCTTAAATCTAAATATTTTATATACTATCAATACTAACAAGGAAATACCAGTTAACCCTACTTTGGAATCATGAAACTTCTGTGGCTACTTCCTAAATATTTTGGTGTCTAGTGTTTCATGAACACAAATGACACTATTTCAATTTTTTTAAACAAAGAAAGAGGGGCCACCCTGGTGGCACTAAGAAGCTATCCTCAGCCACTGCAGCACAAATTCCATCCCCAGCCGGGGAGCTGACCTACATGGCACAGCAGACCTCTCCTGACCCGCCCGCTGCTCCCCTCAGCGGTGTACTTCAGTCAATCTGCCTGTTCTGCTCCCCACTCTGTCATTGGCGAATCCTCTTACCTCCCACACCTCTGACTTGTACCCCAGTTCTTATATGCATAAATAAATAAATCCTTAAAAAAAATAAAATTTAAAAATAATAAAGGAAGAAATGCAGAAACGACAAAAGGTTTTCACTGTTTCCCCAAAGTCTCTTGTAGCCCCATGTTTTTCTGTCCCACTTAAAGCTTTAATGTCTTGGCAGACAAATTCAGAGAGGCTCTCTGTTGACCTAAGCACTGCAGGTGGGGCACACTCACCTCCCGGGGCTGCTACTCATACTTACCTTCCCTTGCTTTTCTTTCAAAATCTTCAACTTTTAAAACACCCCCCTTTTCATAATCTGAAATGGAAGAGAATAATCAGTCTTCAGAAAATGAACTCATCTTGATAATTATAATAATGTAAAATTGGAAATAAGATTTCCAACATTAGAGAATATTAAACAAAAATGACATTTCCATACAAAATAGTTTATGCAAGCTATTCTCTTTACTTGCAATCTATTTTATGTTATGTATAGTTAAACACAATAAAAAAATTGCATGAAAACACATTAGGAACAAGAACATTAATTCATATCTCAAGCTGTGTTAGATCATGTACATTCATACTTACAGATAAACAAAAACACTATTGTGAAAAGAAAAAAGTTTTAAAAGGGAAGGACACTTTTTGGAGTGATATGATCATTATCTTGAATTTGGTAATGGTTTCATGGTGTGTACTTTAAAACTTAGCCAATAATACACTTTACACCTGTGATAGAGCAGGTGTAAATGTTTTTTAAAGAGTACATGTATGTGGTTTTTCCTTTTTAAATTTTTTGCTTTGTTTTGTTCTTCACGTATATTTAAGTCATCTTTTGCCTCCAAAAAACTTTGAGTTATGTTGATTCTTCCATCTGAGTGACTAGCGTCACTCAGCCATCAGCCTAGAGAAGAATAAGAAGAGTAATGCCCACAAAGCATTTCTAATATCCTTCCTCCCAACACAGCCCAACACAACCCAATTTTTTTTCCCAGGCTGACACCTGGAGTGACCTTACCAATCAAGTCTGTGTCGACAGCGCGATCATAATAGTAAGAGAAAGCATAGAAGGAGCTCCTCTTGATCTCCTCTGGCTGGTGAAGTTTGCCTTGGACCACCTTCAGCACTTCAGCATAGCAAGACTCAAAGCCTGCCTCCCCTGCCAGGAGACAAGGATATAGCAGCAAGGTGAGAAAAACAACAGGGTAAGTAATCACTATCTAGGCAAGTTGCTGACACTAAGGGGAAACAGCAAGAGGATTAAGGAAATCAGAAGGCCTGAGGCTTAGGACAAAGGGCTTATAAAGATGAGCAAAATTCTGCAGTCTCATGGTTCTAGAGGACAGGTATCTACTTCCCCAAGACACCCCTCCCTAACCTGTACTCATCAAAACAGTCACAGCTGGCCTTCTGGTAACCTAGAATTTAAGCCTCAGTGCTATCACTGCCACCACTGCTAAGGCCTGATCCCTGGCAACCCATATATGGCATAGTTGACCTCTCCTGTCTTGCCCACTGCTCCCCTGAGCAGTGTATTTCCGTAAATCCAGCTGTTCTGTTCCCTACTCCATCTCTGGTGAATCCTCTCACCCTTCCCATCCACACCTGTGGCCTACACCCTAGTTCTTCCGTGCAAACAAATAAAAAAGTCAGTACTAAAAATGGAACTACCATATATCCCAGCAATTCCACCCCTAGGGTGTCTACCCAAAAGACACAAAATTTTAATTCTAAAGGAAACCTGCAACACTATTTATAGTAAGAAAGACTTGGAACCAACCCAAATGCCCAAAAATAGATGACTGGATCAAAAAGATGTGGAACAGACAACTATAAATCAGTGACATTGCAAGGGGGGGGGAAAAGGGGGATGAAGAGGGAACCACGATAGGGCAGGAGAAGGACAGGAGATGATGGTGATGCTGCAGGGGTGAACTGATGGTGGAAATTCTATGGGGACTACACCTGAGAAAGAAAGCAAGCAACAACAAAAAAATGAACAATGATATTAAAAAATGAAAAATAAAGTCACCTCTGACTATGAGCTGCTATCTAGCATCATGTTTCATGGTATTTATAAGAAATATCCAGAAAGTCAATTGCTTCCATAACTGGAGAAAATCAACTTTTTCCTTTGATTTTAAGGTCTAAACCTCCTATTGTCTTAATTTTAAGTATTGCTATAATTTAAGTAGCCAAATACTAACTAAACTTGAAACAGTTTCATCCTGCTGAGTACAGAGACTTTTAGTGCACTAGACTGAAAGTAAGAACAGGTTTCTAATGAATCCACAACACTTGTTTGGGAAAGAGCAGGATGGAGTAACTAACCTCTGTCTTGTTTACTGTCATTTCATTTCCTGGAAATATACCAAGATCTATTTGGAATGAGTTTCTGCAACATGACCAGCTACTCTTGAGCTCCGGAAAATATTTCCCTTGGGACTTTTCCAGACTTCTACTGTAAATATAATTTCAACCAGTGGGGGAAGAACAATCACTTGCCTTTTTGGTTGCCACCATACTGGTATTTCACACCCCCAAAGATCCACTCTGCTTCCAACCATCTTGGTAAGCAGGCACTTCGGAAAGTGTGTCCATCAATCCCTGAAAGAAATCAGACTATAAAGCACGAAGGGAAGAATGTGAGAGAGGTTGGAAGGCAGGCAAGAAACCAGTGTGGCTGGAAGGAGTCAGGAAGGTAGCTTATTAAAACCATATGAGGGCTCTCCCTGGTGGCATAACGGTTTAAAGCACTGCATTAAAGCACCGGTGGCATTATGAAGCTCTCTGAAGCCACTATAGCACAAGTTCCATCCCCCGCCAGGGAGGTGACCCACTTGGCGTGGCAGAGCTCTCCTGACCTGCCCGCTGCTCCCCTCAGCAGTGTCCTTTGTCAATCGGCCTGTTCTGCTCCCTACTCTTGTCTGTGGTGAATCCTCTCACCCACCACAACTCTGGCCTGTACCCCAGTTCTGTAAGCATAAATAAATCAGTCTTTAAAAAAAAACATATGAAATTAGTTACACAACTAGTTCCTATGACAGGAATTCTTAACTCAGGGCTTACAAAAGGGGTTTAGTGGAGTCCCTGAAACTACAGGCAAATTTGTGTGCATGTATGCATTTGGTGGAGGATTTCATCACATCTCAAAGAAATCCAAAACCTACAATGGAGTAAGGTCCCTTCTTTCTAAAAAGGGGGAAAGATACTACTCTACTTTCCTCCCTTTTGTGACTCTTAGAGGAAATACATATGAAGAAGTTTTGTAAACTAGGAAATGCTATATAATCATCATCACAGTAATAGCTTATCATGCGCCAGGCACCAGACAAAGTGCCCTCTTAAGGTGAAAAATCCCTCTTAAGGTGAAGAGAGTGCAGAAAGGTTAGCTAACTTGCCCTGAATCACAAAATCAGAGCTGATTTCAGTTCTGCCTCACTCAAAAAGCTGAGCTCTCAATCCTTTTAACACCTATGCAGAGATGGTTTTGCTGTTATTCCACTTTGTGAAGGGAATTCTTCCTGAACTCCCACATAAAGGTTTGGGCACCTGCCAGAGTCTTGAATTTCTGTAGACACTTCAGCTTCCTGGCCACAGGCTGTTCTGCCTATACAGTGATTCTAGAAATCACTAAGAAAGTATACCAAAACATCTGACCTTGTGGAAGAGGAATTTGTGATCATCATGCCCATTTACCACATAGGCTTCCAATTCAGCAAAACACTTTCCTCCCCAAAACCAATGCCAAGGGAGGGAAAAGGAAAGTTGAGTACTGGATCGCTTTCACCACACCCCACCCAACACAGGCACCCACACGAACCTTCCATCTCCAGGGCTCCCAGGGTTGCTAGTCTTGCAGCTTTCAATCCAAATCCCAAGTAACTGTAAAATACAGGATTGACTAATTTTGTGCTGGTACTAAATTTCCATAGCCCAAACTACCACTTTCAAAAGTAACATGGCTTTTCCATCTCCTTCTAGAGGGAAGAAACTTTGTTTTCCATGACCTATTTTTCTTTCTTGGTAATTTCTACTCCGCTTAGATGAAGACCATTCAGTAAGAACTTTTTACAGTTATGATTTAAAGGCCAGAGATGGTGACACTTACAAGGATCACACCCTGGAAACCATCCCCAGAAAAGCGCTCATTATTTTAGCCACCAGCTCCACTGTGTTCAAATTCTGGGTTGGAGGCTGAATAGCTGAAAGCCCATTCAAAGGAGTGGGCAGGGTGTTTTGGTTAAATCTTCTCTGAGTATTCTCTCAAGAGAGAACTTTTGATTCTTTAAGTTACTTGAAGTCATGGATGGAGAAGCCTCTTGGGTCCCTTGAGCTTTAACACACTGTTTGGGTTTAAGTAACAGGATTTTTGGATTGGCAGGCTTTTTATTAGGCTAGTCAGCTGCAGCAAAATAGATGTGAAAATACTCTGAAGTCTAGCAAATTTCATGTAACATGAAATGTTATTCCTTCCTGAACCCCTTCCTCACCTATGTGTGTAGAGCTTATAAGTACTGTTAAACATCTCAAAGGAAGTGAGGTAGTCGCTTGGGGTTTGTTCCAGAGTTTTCTGCAAATCAGAAAAAGCAAAACAACTATTCAGAATCTGCTATTATACAAAGATGTTATCACCACATTCCTGTCTCTCCCCAAAAAATCAGAGATGAAGGAGACAGACTAAGCTATTAATCTCATGAGGTTTAAGGAATCAAAATGACTGACCAGTGAGTGGGCAAGGGAAAGTTCACTCAGTAATTAATTCACTTAGTCTATCTGTGATAAAGTGTCTACCTGAAGATGGGTCACCAACTTCTTAACATCATGATATGCCTACTGAGTAGGTGGCTCATCAAACCTTCGAGTAAACGACTCACCTCAAACTGAGGCAGGAACGTGATTTGGGTGGAGGCCCCCCCCAGGTCCAGAGTTCCCACGGTCTCCTGGTTGTGACCATGTAGCTGACCTGTGAATGAGAGCCAGCTCTGAATATCTTCTGCTTCCTACACAGCCCAATATCCTTGTCTGCAGAGAGATGCTGTTCTTTATGCAGGCTGGAGGAACTTCATGAATATTTCCCTACTCATTGGCCCCACAGGCTGCAGGTGAATGCTAACCTAGAAGGATTTTTGCTGCAGCTGAAGCCTTTAAGGCAGATTAAAAGCACTAACTTCCTGTCTTCTTTTCCTTGTCTTTTTTTTTTTTTTTTTTTTAAAGAAAGGAAGTATAGGACAAAAGAAAGATATTTTTGCTATCTGACCCTGTACAAAACCTAGTTTGGGTTTTAGGGTAAACCTGAGAATGTATTACCTGTCAGAAAATTCACAGTAATCCAAGCTAATATGCCTAAAAAAGAGAGAAAGATAAAGATTACATTGCTGGGCACTTCCCTTGCCCCATCTTCTGTTTCTCTCTGCATTCACATCTCTCCATTCTTCCACTTCTTGCTACCCCATTCCTCAGTGGTTGTTTCTCTTTAGTTTCCTTTTCTTCAGCAACACCTTTAATCAGCTATATTATTAAGTCTGGCTCTTTCCGCCTAGAATATGCATCACACCAGCTCTCCCACCTTCATAGGATCCATCCATGATGCTAACACTGTCATCCGGTACCAGGAAAGGTGACTTCATGAAGATCTGTTTTACCTAGAAATGAAAAAACTTCAATTTACTAAGGCAATAAAACAGACTTCATGTTTTGGCTGTATCTTACAAAGCTTAGGAACTATTATCTTCACAAAATTTTATAATCACATTTTCCCTAAGAAGCTAGGGAAGAACTGGACAAGCCCTTACTGGTTTGTTGCAAAAACAAAACACAAAAAGCCTGTGACTTTAAAATAAATTTCAACTAAACCATCTCAATTTATAGGTGAATAGAGGCATACATTTGATTCTGTCAACATCTGATATATTCTACTGGGACATCATTAGAAGTTGGGAGAAATCTTTCCTACTCCATTTCTTAGATGAGCAGATAAACTCAGATAGTAAAGAAGAGTTGAGCCTGGTTGGTTCCTGAGGATGCAGAAAAATTTCTGCTGCTCACCCATCAAATTCTACAGGTCTTTGTTACCTTTTCTGGGAAAGGAGATTATATCCAAGGCTAAAGTATACTATCAGACCCTGTCAGATTTGGCTCATGGCTGGTATCACAGTAGTCTAGAGACCTCAGATCTACATCTATGAATTCTACTTTAAGAAATGGAAATGAAGCTCTCACATAAATACTCGACTCTCCATAAATATAGATAAATGACATGGGTGTTGTGTGTTACCTTCATGATTGAAGGGGAGGGTGGCTCTAATAAAGATAGGAGAAATTACGGCCTATTGGCTTTCCTCACTTGTAATGAGACAAAACACTTCATGCAATGAACTCTCGACCCTATTTCAATCAGTAAATCCAGTTATATGAGCTAGAAATAAGCTTTTAAGAAGACAGATAAGCAAACAGGAGTAAACACAGAAGAGTTTCTGCTCTTGCCTTCCCCCCTCCCACCCAGTTTATTCTCAATACAGCAGAGTAGTGCTTTTGAAACAGACATCAGACCATGTCTCTCCTTAGCTCAAAACCCTCCAGTGGCTTCCTTAGAGCCAAGCCCAAAGTCCTTACACTGGCCCTACATGATGAACTCTCTCCCTCATACCTCTCTGACCTCACCTCTACTTCCCTTCTCTTAATCACTCCCTGCTAGTCATGCTGACCTTCTGAATACTACTCCTTGAACACACCAAGCACATTACTGCCTTTGTCCTTTGGACCTGCTGTTTCTTTATCCTGAGATATTCTTGCCATAAATGCCTTGTATAGCTTGCTTCTTCATTTCTCTCAGATGTGTCTGATCAAATGTGTCTTATCAATGAGATCTTCTCTGACTACCCTATTTGAAATAGTACCACCAACACTCCCTATACAAAAGCAGAACATAAAACTGTATGCCTCCATTTACATAAAATGTAAGAATGAACAAAACTAAAATATAGTGACAGAAGTAGGTCAACAGTTACCTTGTCTCATGAGTGAGGGAATCAGGGAAACTAACTGCAAAGGGGTTAAGGGGAAATATCTATAATTTATCAGCATTCATTTTAAGTGTACACTTAAACAAGTGCTTTCCCAGAGTTGCCAGAAAGGAATGTAGCCCTGCTAGCACCCAAGTTTGGTCTTGTGAAATCCTAGTAAGAGAACCAGATTGTACCTTACTGTGCTCAATTTTTTTTAAGTATTCATTACGTAGATGAATTGGAGTGTAGGCCAGAGGTGCAGGAGGTGAGAAGATTCAGAAGAGGTAGAGTGGGGAGCAAAATAAGCAGATCTACTGAAAGATACTGCTGAGGGGGGAGCATGGGGCAAGACAGGAGAGGTCTGCTGTGCCATGTGGATTAACTCCCTGGCTGGGGATCACATTCAGGCTTTAGCAGTGATAGCACTGGGACTTAAACCTTAGGCTACCAGGGAGGCCCCACTGTGCTCAAACTTCTGACTGTGAAATAGTAAGAGTATTCTTTAAAGAAAAAAAAACGAATACATTTAAAAATATTTTATTTATTTATGCACATAAGAACTAGGGTGCAGACCAGAGGTGCAGGGGTAGGTGGTGAGAGGAGCCACCAGAGACAGAGTGGGAAGCAGAACAGGCAGATCTACAGAAATACTGCTGAGGGAAGCAGCAGGTGAGACAGGAGAGGTCTGCTGTGCCATGTGGGTCAGCTCTCTGCAATGGGATCTAACTGAAGCAGTTGGGAATAGTTTGATAGTGCTATCACCTAACCCCTATGCCACCAGGGAGGTCCATACATTTAAATGATATGTAAGTTGCACCTCAATAAACAAATTCCATGATCCTACTTTAATACGAGAATTAAGAATACCATGGACAGAAAGTACTTTAAACTTTTTAGAAAAAGCTGTATAAATCCAAGAGTAATATTTAAAAATGTAAATAATTAGCTACAAAAAAAGCCCATGGTCACCACAGTGCTTGAGCAGTGGTGGAATACTAGAAGTAACAATAATAATCCAGAGTAAAGAAAATATTCATAGAGGGAAAAAGAACTTTCCAGGATATAGAAGGTTTCAAAACTTGGGCCCTCGCTGATGGTTCAACAGGTTAAAGCACAGCACTATGAAGCTATCTGCAGCCACTGAAGCACAAGTTCAATCCTGGCCAGGGAACTGATACACATAGCGCAGCAGACCCCTCCTGACCTCAGTAGTATGTTTCAGTACATCTGCCTGTTCTGCTCCCCATTCTCTCTGGTGAACCTTCTCACTCATCCCACCTCTGGCCCAGTTCTTGTATGTATAAATAAATAAGTCTTAAAAAAAAAGAAAGGTTTCAAAAGTTACCTCAAAAAGTAGAGCCTGGGCTTTCTGTTCTGGCAGTAAGCGCAGTCCTGCTGTTGCCTTCAGAACCACTGGGGTCCTTTTCCAATGACTTTGGGGGATTGAATCTTTGGCCACCTCCAAGAGTTCTTGAACAGTCGCAGCACCCTTCAAAAAAGATGACCCACTCATGCAGTGAACACTCCATTTAGTGGCATTGGTCTATCTCCTCAACACACTCTATACAGAAGTAACAGGAAAGTAACAGGGTTCCACCCCCTGTCCTGTGGAGGAGTCTGTAGAGGTAGCAATCTAGAAATGTAGGCTTCTCTGAAGAAAGATAATCCACTTTATTTTTTTATTATACAATGATAAAAAAGACTTTTATACTGTGGTCACTGATTGCTGTATTCTCATTTAAATTTCCTTTAAACCTGAAGTTGGGGATAGTAAAGGAAATACAATTTGAATTGGAAGATTTGCTTGCCAGCCCTGTGACCTAACATAAGTTGCTTGGAATTCCTGGGGCTTGGATCCCTCGGCTGTGAAATGAGAGCTATGCTTTATCCGAAGTAGTATCATGTGCAGTAGATGAAGCACGCTGTATATAGCTGCCACACAAACACTAGCTGTAAGAGGACTGAACAAATCAGGTTCACTTCTGTATCATTCGCACCTACATACTCACAGTAGGTGCTCAATTTATAATAAAGTAAAAACCACTACTTTAAATCCAATTTCCCTGAGTAAACATATATTCTAATATACGGATCATAATTAGGAGTAAGCAATCATCTTCTCTAAATGTCAAATCAGTTTCTGATAATGTAGTTGTTTTCAACAGCTTCCAGTTTTCTAGCACACTTCCATTTCACAATAGTGAATTAAAAAAATAAACATGCTCTCAGTTCATTTTTAACATCAGGTTTTCATTTGGTTAATTATTATCTTTGTGACACTGAAAAATACCTTTATATCTACTAACAAAGATCAACATACTGCATTATTTCAGCATGCCCTTTCACATACACTGGATGTTCTGTGTTGTTGGTACCCAAATATAAAGTACAGTCCCAATAAAACTTTACATTAATACTCTACCACCAAAGATTTTGTTATGATGGTCTCCTGCCTGATATCTAGAACATAGACATGGTACTATCCTAACAGGACAACCTGGAATTATTCCATTTGGTTTATATTTCCTTAATTGCCATGTTTAGACACTATAGAATTTCTAATCTTCTTCATCTACATAAATCAATACAGTTGATGGCTTCTACTCATAGTCTTAAATAGTAAATACACACACACACAAAAATCAATCTCTTAAAAGATGGTATTATCCCTCTATGGTCATAATCTATTTTCTCTCTTCCTTCCACCCAAACCATAGTGAGCTCTGGGTATACAATTACTGTTATCCAGGAGACTAGCTAAGGATAGAAAACTGATTTCACATGTGACTTCAGTAGCATTAGTGAACAGAAAGAAGTATTTAACAGCAGTAGTGTGGTAAAGTTATCAAGGCATTAAAATCTAAACATCTAGGCCCTCCCTGGTGGCGCAGCGGGTTATAGCACAGCACTGAGAATCTGAAGCCACTTCCGCATGAGTTCGATTCCCGCCTGCCGCCTGCCCCGGAGGAGACCACATGGCGAGCCAGACCTCTCCTGACCCGCCCGCTGCTCCCCTCAGCAGTGTACTTCGTCAATCTGCCTGTTCTGCTCCCCACTCTGTCTCTGGTGAAGCCTCTCACCGTCCCTGAGCCTCTGGCCTGTACCCCAGTTCTGTATGAATAAATAAATAAATCTTTAAAAAAAAAAAAATCTAAACATCTAATTGTAAGAAACTTACCTGCTTAGGTTGATCTACAAATGCAGAAAGTCCTGGCTTCACATAATCAAAAATTTCCCCCTCCAGAATTGGAAGCTGTCCTATTTACCATACAACAAAACAGGAGAGAAGACTAATTACCAAAAATCAGGCAGATAAACCTGCTATTCCTCTAAGCTGTTCTAAGTAATCCCACTTTGAGGAATGGCTAGCAGGGGTACTGGACATGGGGACAGAGGATGATAGGCAAACCTTGAGGGTCCCTTCTGCCATTTCTCTGTGGACACCTAATTCCTACTCTTTTCCCCAGGATTCACAAATAACTAGATAACAAAACACTGCAAATTCAAAGTTCATCTTTAGGATCCCCTCATCTCCTCACCAAGGTAGTCTTTCCCCCCAGTATTCTCACTATTTTGGACCCTGGAATATTAACCACCTTCAAGGAAAAGGAAAGATAAATGACAGCTACACTTCTTGGACACATGAGTTTTAAACTAAAGACAATCTCCTGTGACCAACAATTTCACATTGAATTAAAGTATATGCATTCAATTATAGTTCAAAATGGTCTCTGAAGAAAAACATTCACTAGCCACATGATTCTGTAATTCAAATATCTGTTTCTGAAAGGAGATGCTGAAGTATGGATTTATATACTCTGACAAGGGTATGAGTTGAACTCACCTGGTATTTTCTGCACAAATGTGTAAACATGAATTCGCGTGCCAGTACTCCCTGCATCAAACATAATTCCATATAAGGTGCTGTCACTGACATTGACAGGACACATAGAAGACAGGAAGACACCTTCAAACCAAGTCTGCTGGTCTCTGTAGAAGACAGTGGTGCAAACACAGGATGCCACCAGCATGAAAAAGGCTACCCCCCGTGAAGTGGCCATTCTTTTCCAAAGATGTGGAGTCTAGGCTCCTGTGGCAGAAGCAGTGCCGCTCACACACCTGCAGTGGCTTATATGACAAAGATACACAAGTTAGACCAACTGGGTTTTTGTTTTGCTCTGTAAAAGAAGAAAAACAACCATATTAAAGTCTCACCCCTTCCCCCAAAGCACTCCTTCTCTATTTCTAATAACAAGCAGAACAAGCTAGACCAGGACGATACAGACTTTTTGTAAGTTTTCTAAAGGGTATCTAGTTGCAAAAGGAAACTAGGGTTTAAAATATATACTCCCATGTTCCTTTGTCACCTTGCTCCTATTGAGTCTAATTTTCTCCTTTACAGGTTGACAATTTTGTCTTTAGATCATAAATTAACATTCTCACCCTCCTCTCTTTTTTCTTTTTGACTAACAGGTAAGAAACTTCAATGTCCTGGGCCCTCCCTGGTGGCACAATGGGCTGAAGTGCTGCACTATGAAGTTACCCGCAGTTACAGTAGCTTGAGCTGGATCCCTGGCCAGGGCTGACCCACATGACACAGCATGTCTACTGGCCTGCCTGCTGCTCTCCTCAACAGTGTGTTTCTGTACATCTGCCTGTTCTGCTCCCCTCTCTGTCTCTGGTGAATCTCCCCACCCTCCCACCTCTGGCCTGTACCCCAGTTCATATACGCATAAATAAGAAGTCTTTAAAAAAAAATACAAACACAAAAACATCTCTGGGCACCACTAAACGTCTCCTGGATAAGCCTGCTCCATGGTGTATTTTCTCATAATATTAATGATGAATGTCGTATTTACCTCTAACACAGCCTTCTTCCTTAATTGTACCATGTACTTTACCCAGAGTAGTTTGTTTTTTTTTTTTCTGATTTATCATTCATCTCTAGACTTCTCCTTTTATAAGTCATAGTTACTGGTTAACAAGATCAAATTTCAAAGTTCCCCTTTCCCAGTCCTCTATTTGTAACAGATAATCACTATGTTTGGAGTACAGGTTGAGGATTCTCAATCGTTCTCCAGTTTGTAGACATCCTAGGACTTATTTTATCAAAATTCACCCCTCCTCACAGGTAAAACATTACATAAAATAAAGTTGGAATTTTAAATTATTTAAATTAATAATTGTAATGAGAGACTAAGGCCAAATTTCTATCCAATAGTTAACCATGAGTTAACAATTAGAGGACCAGAAATGTTCAACTTTTAGGATCTCAACTTTTCAAATTGTTCGACTGTTAGAAGAAAACGTCATCCAGGAAATCAAGCACTGTAGCAACTGCTGACTGGCCAGCTTCATACTCACATCTTAAATCACCTCCTTTGGCTGATTCTTTTCTTACAGAAAGCAGGCTGGTCACGTTGATCAATTTAAATAACTGAAAAAAGAAACAACCTTTTCAGAAGATTTGAGTATAAAGGACCTTTATCTAGTTTGGAACAAATCATATTCAAAATCTGTTCTTTTATGTCCAGTAGGAAGTATATTTAGGGAGTCTCCAAATACCAGCTCTTCTCTTTCTCTGTGAGTAGTTCCACAGCAGCTTCTTCAGGTATCACTCATTTTATCTACTACAATTATTTCTTGAAAAACCTCTTTTATTCCCATTAAGCAAACACTTGTTTTTCTTCCAAAATAGGTTTCATGGGGGGTGGGGAATGCACACTTATCTGTTTTCATGCAGTGAAAACTGCACAGTCATACCACTAAAGAGTAAGTAGATCTTAGAGAAAGCAAAATATGAACACATTAAATGGCACGTCTCTCCACCCCACTGTCTGACACCACTTCTAATCTCACTTTTCTTCAGATTAGATACCTTAGGAATGGTATTAGCAAGGCTTACAATTTAGAGTACACAGAATGGCATTCTATTTTACATGACCCGAGTCCAGTTTCCTCACTTTGTGCCCACTCTATTTAAAACTGCAACCTGAGGGCCCTCCCTAGTGGCACAAGGGGTTAAAGTCCAGCACTATGAAGCTAACCACAGCTGCTTCAGTTCCATCTCCAGCTAGGGAGTTGACCCACATGGTGCAGCAGAACTCTTCCCACCCGTCTGCTGCTCCCCTCAGCAATACATCTGCCTGTTCTGCTCCCCACTCTGTCTGGTGAATCCTCTCACGCCCCCCCTCCCCACCCCATACCTCTGGCCTTTACCCCAGTTCTTATATGCATAAATAAATAACTCTTTAAAAAAAATCAAAATAATACAGTCAAGCTTACTTTTTATAAACTGGAGCAAACACATCAGTATATTTAAATCCATTCCCTTCAGAACTGATTTTCTCAATCTTCATTTCATCCTCAACAAAAGACCCCTTTTCAATTCTTTTCTTTGAAACTTGTTACCAGTCCATATTTGTTATCTTCTTCACCTCCTTCTAAGATCTTCTCAGTGAATCTCTGTTTCTGTAGTAAATACTAATCTTCTTCACTCAGGCTCCCTAGATCTTCATATTCTGGATTCTCTTCTACATCGCCCAACAGACCAAATTCCACAGGCCCTATTTGGGTGCTCACCTGCTCGTGTGTGCCTGTTCCCAATGAGTCACTGCTTTCACTGTGGTTGTCTTTTGCTCTTTGCTCTTGTTTCAGTGCTTCTGAATCAAGCTAGCTTCAGGAACCACATTCACCTTTGTGCTAATCTGCAACCACTTAGTATTTGCTAACTCACTCCCTTCATTATTCTTTACTCCTCCCTTATCCAACTTTTTCTGGATACACAGGATTGGCTAGTTCATCTACTTTAATGACAGTTAAGTGCCAACTAGCAGAATTACTGCTTATAGGGCAGAAGTTGCTCAGGAATTGAATTCTGTGGGGCTTATATTCTACTAATTAGTTTTTACATTTAATAATGCAATGTTTACATTATATGACAATGTAACAATGTTATTAATTCCCTACTACCTCATGTTTTACATTAGACCAATACTAGAGAAGTTAATAATACTCGATAACTAACATCCTTGAGATGAATTTAGAAAGCTAGGCACTGATTTGTCTAATTAATATCCATATTTTGAGGGCTTAATAGATACCAGAGACTATGCTAGTTTCTAGACAGGTCAAGTTCTTGGAGAGACTTCAGCTTATTAGCGGAAAGCTTCTCGTCATTGTTTTCACTGTGGTTGTCTTTTGCTCTTTGCTCTTATTTCAGTGCTTCTGAATCAAGCTAGTGTCAGGAGCCACATTTTCTTTTGTGCTATAATGTGCTGTGGTTAAGTTTTCTGATAGAAATATGCAGAGGGTATTACAAATATGGACTTAAGGGAAAGATGGGGAAGGATGGAGTTGGAAAGGTTATGGGAGATTTCTTAAGGGATGAGGGGCTTAAAAGTCCTGAATCAGAGGTAGGAATTAATATGGTAATGTAATACAAGAATTGAGAACTTTTGGTATTAAGAGTTCATGGTGTTTAAGAATAAAGAGGGAAGGTGTGAAAAAGGATGGCTGGGGAGACACTGAATCAGACTGCAGGAATGAACTTTTTTCCTCTTATTCAGTTTCATGGTAACACCTGATATTTATGTCTTTGTATTCCCCTCCTAAGCATATATTAATATTGACGTATTTGGACAAAATGACACAGTATTTCCCAACAGTGGAAAACAGTGGAATGGGATAAACAACTAGAAAAGTTCACCAAAAAGTCTGAAAATAAATGAAAGCTTCCACTCATTTTTCTGAGTTCTACACCAAAGATGGTATAGAATTTTTAACAAAGTTAAAAATTAAATAGAAAGTAAGTTTAGAATGTAACTAGAATAAAATTTCTAAACAATAAACTGGACCCTGGCAGTAGATTAGCCCACCAGAGCATGTGTTAACCAACAAGGTAAAACAAAGGTAGTTCAAATTAGGTGTGGCTGGGATAGATTTCAATAGTGAGCAGCGCCTCCTTTGGGAATTTTAACTTGGGAACCACATACCGCAAGGAATGCTTAAATCGAAGCACTAGGAAGCTATCAGCAGCCACTGTAGCACGAGTTCAATCCCCACAGGGAGCTGACCCACATGGCACAGCAGACCTCTCCTGTTGTGCTCGCTGCTCCCCTCAGCAGTGTATTTCAGTAGAACTGCCTGTTCTGCTTTCCACTCTATCTCTGGTGAATCCTCTCACCCCCACAGCTCTGGTCTGTACCCCAGTTCTTGTATGCATAAGTACATAAATCTTTAAAAAAAAGTTAATCATAAAAAAAGTTAAAGGAGTCCAAAGCACAGGACTAATCATACCTAAAGAATTAAGAAGGTATCATGAAATGACAGCTGATTGACCATGAAAAAACAAACAAAAGTAACTACATAAATAATAGAGATATGGACAAAGACCAGAGGAACCACAAAAAGATGAAGACGGGAGGGTAAATATAGTTTTATTTCATTTAAAATTTTTCTCAAATTGTTTTGATATGGAGCTGAGAAACAAAATTAAAAAGTAGTTGATTGTATTAGAAGATGGTATTTAAGAGAAGAAGGGTTGGTATTAGATTCAGAAAAAAGACTGTGACCAAAGGAACACAATCTGAGATAACAATAATAGCAGCTAGTACCTACTGAGAACTTAATACTTGCTAAGCACTATATTAAGCACTTTACATGGAGTATTTCATTTAATTTCACAATACTGGCAGCTCCCCTGCCTGCCTATGACTATGCAGGTTTCTTTCTCTTTTCTTTAAAGGTTTATTTACTTATGCACACAAGATCTGGAGTGTGGGCCAGGATGTAAGGGATGAGAGGATCACCAGAGACAGAAAGGGGAGCAGATCAGGCAGATCAACTGAAATACACTGCTGAGGAGAACATGGGTGAGACAGGAGTGGTCTGCCACACCATATGGGTCAGAGCCCTGGCTGGGGATTGAACTCATGCTGTAGTGGCTGCAGATAGCTTCCTAGTGCTGCGCCTTAGCCCCTTATGCCACCATGGATGCCCCTCTTTCTTTTTTTTTCAATGTCCAAAAAGGCAGGTTTATTATAAAAAGGGAGAGAAGAATAAAGGACACTTGCACAAACACAAGCAAGCAGAAGAGTGGCCTTCAGAAGGGATAGATTAGCTGAGAGAAAGACCTGCATAATCATAGGCCAGCAGTCTTAGGAGAACTGCTTCTGCTGCTTTGCAAAGAGAGAAGAGTGCTAAAGAGAAACACCTGCATAGTCACAGTGGGCAGGAGAGCTGCTGCCCTGTGACTATGCAGGTTTTTCCCACACACCTTCTCCCTTTGCAAAGCAGCAGCTCTCAGCCCACCTATGTCTATGCAGATGCCTCTCTTTTGCTTTCTCCTTCTCCTAGTAAACTTGTCCTTTAAAAAAAAAATAATTATCATCATTATCTCACAATACCACTCTATAAGGTGAGAAAACTGATGCTCAAGTGAGAAAACTGATGCTCAAGTAATTTAAGAGCATATAGTGGTTGAAAGCAGAAGCACAAACCAGATGGTCTAATTCCAGAGCTCAGTTTACCCAGGAAAGGTCATCCTTAAAGACGGACTTAAGGACAGTAGAGAACAGGAAAAATTGCTTAAAGCTAAAGCTGAGAAGTTAGGATGGCATTACGATATAAAGATCCTACAGTAGTTTGACCTTCTTCCTATATCTCTGAGGAGCTTCCGATGTGTTTCCTACTGGTTCTACCCTACTACATTTCAAGAATCTACTCCTTCCACTTTGGCCTGAGTCATCATGACCTCTCATGTGATTTATTCTAATATTGTCCTAATAGATCTCTGCTTTTACCCTCACTCACCTAGGTTCTATTTTTGAACTAGCAACCAAAGTCATCCTTTAAAAATGTAAGTTAGGCCCTCCCTGGTGGCGCAGCGGGTTAAAGCACAGCACTGAGAATCCAAAGCCGCTTCCGCATGAGTTCAATTCCCGCCTGCCCTAGAGGTGACCACATGGTGTGGCAGACCTCTTCTGACCCTGCTCCCCTCAGCAGTGTACTTCATCGATCTGCCTGTTCTGTTCCCCGCTCTGTCTCTGGTGAAGCCTCTCACCGCCCCTGAGCCTCTGGCCTGTACCCCAGTTCTGTATGAATAAATAAATCTTTAAAAAAAAAAATGTAAGTTAGCCCATATTTTTCTCTGTGCAAAATGCCAGCTAGTAATGGCTTCCAGTTATGAAGAGGAATGTGAAAGAGAGTAGCATAGTCTCAACAGTAGCTTTCATGGATGCAACTGCTCTGCTTCCCTCCCCTTTATCTGTCTGACGATATCTATGAAGTTTTTACCTTATTCACTCCACCACACTGATCTCTGTGTTCATGTCACACAAACTCCTGCTTACATCCTTTGCTCTAGCTTCCCCACTATCTGGAACAATCTTTTCCTACATTCACTCAATAACTTCCTGTAGTTCCTTCAAATCATCATTCAAATACTACCCTCTTACTGAGGCCTATCTTTTTAATACAGTAACCTACCTCCTGTGCTCCCTACCTCTGCCTTCTTTACCTCAATCCCCCTGATTCTAATCTACTTTTTCTTCTTCCCGTGTCACTTACCACATTATAGCACAGTAGAAAGCTTATAACACTTGTTATCTGTATTCTTCAGACAGAATATGAGCTTCCTAAGAGTGGGAACTTTTTTGTTTATTTATGTAATCCAAGCACTTAGAACAGTGTCAAAATTAGTGCTCAACAGAAACTGACAATAGGAATAAACTGCAAAGTGACATAAAAAAAGATGTCATTTCATAAATAGATTTTAAAGAGAGAATACTAGACATGGGTTTGTTTTGGGAAAATTTATATTTTTCTGAGGCTATTAGTTTCATAGCTAATTTTCTTTAAACAATCATTTTCAAACTGTTAAAACTGTTATAACTGAACTTAAAAAAAAAGAATACTAAATATTGTTTTGTGCAAATTCCCTTCTGCTTACCAAGTCACTACATTGTAATATGCTGTACATTAGTTATCAATTGTTGCCTAACAAATAACCCCAGAACTTAAGTTGCTAAAAACAACAGTAAACATTTATTACTGCACAATTTCTGTAGTTCGGGAATTTGGGAATGGCTTAATTGGATAGTTCTGGGTCAGAGTCTCTCATAATAGTATAATCAAGATGTAGACTGGGGATGCAGTCATCTGAAAGCTGGACTGAAGCTGAGAACCCACCTCACTCAAAAGCTGGCAAGCTGGTATTGACTACTGGCAGGAAGTCAGTACTTCCCATGTGGACTTTCCATGAGGACTTGAATGTCTTCACAACATGATGGCTGGCTTCCTCCAGAGTGAGCAATCAGAAGCAGCAGGGAGCAAAGCAGAAACAGCAATGTTTTTTATGACTTAGTCCTATTACTCATATGCTATCACTTCCCCCACATTCCTCTGGTCATCCAAACCAACCCCAATGAAATGTACAAAGGTATGAATATTAGGAGGTAAGAATCATTGGGGCCATCTTGGAAGATGTGCCAGTTACCATAACATTTGCAGAGTATCTTCTGTTAGGGGCTTTTATTTCAGGTTATATATAATTATATTAACAAAACTTACATACTTCTTACTTTAGTAATGATACTTTTAATAATTAAAGATAATATGGACTCTTTTTAAAGATTTATTTATATATACAAGAACTGGGGTACAGGCTAGAGGTATGGGGCATGAGAAGATTCACCAGAGACAGAGTCTCGGAGAGCAGAACAGGCAGATCAACTGAAATACACTACTGAGGGGAGCAGCAAGCAAGACAGAAGAGGTCTGCTGTGTCATGTGGGTCCTCGCACTAAGTGACTACAGTGAGCTTGCAGTGCTGCGTCCTAACCCAAAACACCACCAGGAAAGGCGCCATATAGACGTTTAACTTCTTTATAAATACAACATCACACAATTTTTCATTTTTTCTGTCAGAGCCCAATATTTTACTGTAAGAAGTGAATAAAAGTTAGCAAAACTATAACTCACACAACTTTCTGCTTGTTTAATGGTGAAAATAAGTTTAAATACTTCAAATAAGAATCAGATATATTTAGAATAGGAAGAAAATAAATGAATCATATTTGTTAAGATTAGAGATTAACAGTGAAATTAAATACTAAAGGAAGTTATAGAATAAAAATATTTTTTCTTTTTTGTTCATGCTATATAGTATGAAGCTAGCTACATACAGCATTTTCTTCATACTACATAGAGAAGTTTTCTAATCATACAATGGTAGCATTAATATTTAGGTACTGGAGAAGTATTTGGTCTAACAGAAGGATGACAACTGGCAGACATGAAACCACTGAAAATTTTTATGACTTTTTTAATTGGTAAGATAAAAAGTATATATATAACATTGAGTTTTAATTAGATCACTGCCAAGGAGTTGTAGTAAGACCTGTAAGCAAGAGAACTATTAATGGAGAGATAAACAGGAAGATTTCCCCAGTAATATGAGATGTTTCATGTTGATGACGAAGAAAAAAATTCTTCCCCTATAAGATCAACCAAATTTGACCACATCATCCAAAGTGGTTTCACAGATCAAAAGACTGGCTAAGTGAAATATTCTTTAGGTTTCTCCAACCCTAAGATCAAATACTCTAATTCCCAATAAAGGCATTAGAATTGATAGACAGACACTCTAAAATAAATATATCATTATTTCCAATAAACAGACTGCTTCTTTCTGTACTTTATCCCATTTTAATCAAGACATTATTAGACAAGTATCAAAAGAGCCGATTCTATACAGTAAAACCATTTTGGTGTTATACTGAAATGAGATTAGTCATTTCATGACTGCATTCTTTACTGTTTCTGCCCAACTTAGCTACAATAACTATAAGAGGAGAGCTGCGGCTATTGTTGCCTCTCTTCACAAGTCACAAGGCCCTTTCTTATCTAATCATTGAGAGTCAGGCTTCTCTATCCAAAAATAAAGTTTCCTATTTTGTAAGATTCGGTAGGTTATTTTGGGGGGCCTGGAATGCTCAATAAATTTTCCATATAAACTGATAGCAGACCCAAGAAATAACATACTAAATCATGCCAAATAGAATATTCTACTTTCAGACAGTAGGAGGAAACTGTATTATCAATGAGGAGGATATCACAAGTACTGAGGAAATACTGTGAATAACTCAGATAGTAAACTATTTGTTTCTAAAGTGCCTCCCCATACCCACTGCAGGAGGCGCTTATCTGCAGAAGAGTAATTGCAAGCATCAGTGTCATTTGCACTGTCTCCACTGGAGTTTGTGGGGAAGGTAGAAAGTATAATTTCCCTTTCATCTTATCAACTGAAAAATAACCACTGCTTCAAACATGTTAAATAAAAGTGACAAACATACGAAGGACTGAAATATTATGAGACTTCGTATTAAAAAAAAACAAGGACTAGGGATTCCATATATTCTACAAATATGTGTTCAAAATGCTTTTCCTCTTAGATATTGTAACATTTTTATTTTAACAGTGTTTGTAAAGTTAAAATGTTTCTCAGGTGACATGGTTTATAGTTCAGGATCATGATTACAATAGTCAGTTACATTTTTCTGTAAACTTGGGATGAGTCTAGGGGCTTATGGGTCTTCAGGACTATTTGCCTTTCTGCCACCAAATGACGCCAGATTACTCTGCTTTCTGAACTAGTTCCCTCAGCAGTCCTCTTTATTACACTTAATCAGTACTACCGTGTGCCTAACTCTTCCAAAAAGCTGTCATTATCTAGTTTTAAAATTTCTTGGGGTATGAGAATCGGAGGGCCATAATTAGACTTTTATGCCAGCTGATACAAATAAGAGCCTCCCCACAGAATAAGGGCTGTGGACTTTGTGAAAATTCTTAAATGGCTCAATGGTCTCTTTCTATTTACTATGAACTCTCAGATAGGAAAGTAGAATTTGCAGAAATCTGACCTATGGAATTTTTTATGTAAGTATAATATTTTATGTAAGTTAATCCACCAATATTTTCTATTCCTTTTGGGCATTCCCCTTTGTTTCCTTCAACTAAAAGGTCCCTTTTTCAACTTGTAGAAGATAGACATGGATAATTAGAAATGCAAAGTTCTCTCTTTTCCAGTCAATATGCCCCCCTCTTTTTTTTTTAGTTTAAACGATCCCCCTCAAAACTTTTATTTATTTATTTATTCATTCACTCATTTATTTTTGCATGTAGAAGAACCTCTTCTGTAGAGGTACAGGAGGTGAGAGGATTCACCAAAGACAGAGTGGGGAGCACAGTAGATGGATTTACTTATACACTGCTAAGGGGAGCAGCAGGCAAAACAGGAGGGGTCTATTGTGCCATAGGTGAGTTAGCTCCCTGACTGGGGATCAAACTCAGGCTTCAGAGTTGACAGCACTGAGACTTAACCCTTTGGCCACCAGGGAGGCTGGCTGCAATTTTAACAGAGCAACAACTATGATGACACTTCATGCTGAGCTATCTTACCTCACAAGCATACATCCAATTTTGACCTAAATTCTAACGGGTAGTTAGTACTGATACTTAGTGTCTCTCAATATTAAGTTTATACTGTTCTCCCAGAAAGTCAAACTTACCTATGCTACATAAATCTAAAAGCTATATATTTAAGAGATGACTTAACAATGCTCTAAATTTTATGCTATGGGCCTCCAAAACAAAGATTTTAAAGAAAGATCTTGCCAATTAAACATTTATCCCGGTAGAATGGAACGAAAGGTATCTGCCACCTCCAAGCAAGCAACCATGACAACATTTCAATCATTTTCTTCTTTAAGACACCTGTATGTACGCTAATACACTGAACTCAAAACAAGGGACACTAGACACTTAAAATTGGCATCTCCAAATGTTCACTACCTTCCTGCACCTCCTCCTCCCCATATACTGAAAGTTAAATGAATTATTTCAATATTAGTTTGTCAGTGCAATTTCCTCAACTCAAAATTGTCAACATCACCGAATTCTCTTCTCTCATGTTGTTCATATTCCTATCTGTTATAAAGGACTGGTGAGTTTTCCTTTGTGTTATCTTCCCCAACTTTTTTTTTCCTCCTACTCTGGCTCCTGACAT